AAAGTCTACCAAAAAAACTCTTAGAACTAATAAATGAATTCAGTAAATAAAATTTCAGGATACAAAGTCAATATTCAGAAGTCTCTTGTGTTTCTGTACATTAATAATGTACTATCAGAAAGAAATTATGAAACAATCCCATTTATAACTGTATCAAAAAGAATCAAATATGTAGGAATAAATTTAACCAAGGAGGTAAAATACCTGTACCCTGAAAACTGTAAGACATTGAGGAAGGAAACTGAAGAAGACACAAATAAATGGAAAGATATTCAGTATTCATGGATTGGAAGAATTAATATTGTTAAAATGTCCACACTATCCAAAGCAGTCTACAGATTCAATGAAATCTCTATCAAAATTCCAATGGCATTTTTCACAGAAAGAGAACAAATAATCTTAAAATTTGTGTGGAACCACAAAAGACCCCAAATAGTCAAAGCATTCTTGAGAAAGAAGAACAAAACTGGTGGCATCATGCCCCCCCAAGCTTCCTTTGGCAATATCTGGAGACATTTTTGGTTGTCACAATGTGGAACAGCAGGGGAGAGGTCCTCTACTGGCCAGGGACACTGCTAAACATTCTACAGTACCATAGTGCACTGGACAGCTCCCCTCCTTGCCCCTCAACAAGGAATTGTCCTGCCCAGGAAGGCCAAGGTTGAGATAACTCTGCTGAAGTGTGTGATATCCAGTATCTCACTTGTAACAGCCTACTGTTACATTATCCTGTTTTATAGATAGGGAACCGTGGCTTACGGACAGGTATAGAGTGTATAGCCCAAGCTCTTGACCACTGCACTGCTTGTTAAAGAGAAGGGAGATGGAGGTGGCTGTATTAAATAGCAGCAGCAGCAGCAGCAGCAGCAGCAGCAGCACACGGATCCTGCCAGTAAAAGAACTCATGGAGAATAGAAGTCTGTTCAGAAAGGAGAGCCTATATATAAAAGGAGCGTGAAAAGACTGTGTATAGGAAATGTCTTGAGCCTTTCTTAATGAAGTTACTTTCTAGTTGGGTAGAGTTTCAGGGCTTTAAGACAGTTGGGAGGTGCTGATATAGTAGTGTGGAGACTTGGCTGGACTCTGGGCGTGATTCTCACCGTGAGTTCTCTGTCCTATTCTGCAGTTGTTTTTTGAGGACAGTATTGATGATGCCAAGTACTGTGGGCGGCTCTATGGCCTAGGCACGGGAGTGGCCCAGAAGCAGAATGAGGATGTGGACTCTGCCCAGGAGAAGATGAGCATCTTGGCCATCATCAACAACATGCAGCAGTGATGGCGGCGAGGCTCTGGAGGGTGGGCCTGATCCCAGAGTGGTGCTTATGTGCTGACTGTTTGTGTGTACTTATCTTCCTCCCCAAGAGAAAACGCTTCTTTTGAGCAAACCGTACCTACCATCTGCGTTGACAGAAAGACTTCTGTTGCATTGAAGACAAAAGACGTCTTTATTTTAGATCCAGAAGAGGGGTTTGCTCTGAATTTGTAAACAAGTCTTCCCTATTCCTCATCCCCAAGCCTCTCCAATTGCTTCCTGCCACCAGCATCCATGGCTCATTTGACACCTTTTTAAATATCCGGGACAAGTCAGAGACGAACTAGTAAAATATATATAATTCTCATCTGTGTCATTTTTCTTTTAAATCTGTTGCTCATCGCTGAGGATGAAGACTTCTTGACATGATTCTCAGCTGAGCTGAGGGCTTCCAGGGAAAGTGGAACGACGTGGCATTCTTGTGAAGTGGGATATAGATGTCTTTTCCTTCCTTTCCTTTTTAAAAATCTTTTTTGACCCTTCTCAAGGACATTTGCTTTCTTTACACTTTGTTAGTCTTTCGTTGTGTACTATTATGTGGAAATGAATTACTCAGTGCTGACATTTTGAAGACGAGATAATGAAAACTTTTATTAAAAACAAAATTCTTCTGAATCTGTCTACCCTTTATTCATGAGGAACTCCAGAACGGGTGTTAAGTTAACCACTTACGCGTCTTTAAGTCTCTGTTCCATTGTGCCTCTGAGATTTGCTGTCACATGTTTATCATTTGAAATCATTTTAAATTTTAATAAAATATGCTGGATTTGTTCCTGAAGGAAATAAGATCAGAATTTTGGACCATAAGTCTTATATTTTCAGTAATGTGATTTCAGATGGTCATGTGTATTCCCCCATGTCTCTTTGTTCTCCCTGCCTTTCCTTTCAGCAAACCTGAGAAGTTAGGGAGATGGATTATGTGAGTACCAGCAGTGTGTTTAAAAAGTTATAGTGGTACATGTAAACAGGGCAGTAAGAAATTTGGTTAGAGTTTTCTTGGAATAATATCCCACAACGGGTGTAGGAAGCTCAGGACTGTGATTTTTTTTTTTTTTTTAAACTGGTCATTTAAAAAATGCATTGTTTTTTGAATGACTACAGTATGGCCAATTTAGAAAAACCAAAAACCCCTTTGAAATGGTGGAAATAAAAACTGGTAACTCACTGAAGTGGATGAATAGTCTTGCATTTTAAAAGCTTATGAAAAACTCAATTTCAGATGATTCAAAATGTCAAGTATTATAAGCTGGTATTTAAGATGCTTGTAAATATTATTTATGTTTTTAATTTTGTAAAATAAAGATTTCTTTTTAACCACTGGCATGAAGGTTTGGTCTTTTATAGCTATTAATTACTGGCTGTAGGAGATGGTCATTTGCAGTCAGTGCCTGGAAGCATCTTGACTGTCCCCAAACTCTTGTCTCAGTTTTCCACAAGTTGGTATGCATATAAAATGTCTCATTTTGTAGGAGGTTTTTAATGACCAACTGTGTAAATGGAATTGTCTCTTCACTTCACAGCCCCCCACTGATCGTCCAGCCTTAGTGGGAAAACTAGTTTTAATTCTAGTTCCTGGGACCACTTTACTCCATTTGGTGGATTAGCTTGTTAATTAGCAGACTTTATAGACAAAGCGAGCTTCTGGTATTGTAGAGTTGGCTCCACACTATTTACAACCCTTCCTATTGGCACAAAACAAGGGGTTGTAAGAAGTCTGGTATAGGAGCCAATCTAGGCTTTTGCCTGGGATGTTCACAATTAGGAAGAGAGGTATATATCACTGTGATTTGTGGTAAAGGCAGCACAGGTCAGGGTCAGTGGTTCTCTTTCAAGTTCTTTGGCCTGCTGGTGACTGAGCCCTGCATAGGTGTCCTAAATTTAGATTCAAATGGGGAATTTTATCTTTGCCACACTTGAGGACAGATGTACATGTCAGGAGAAGTATTGAGATGAAGGGTTGAGGAACTCTGTGTCAAGTGGGGAGTCTGGTCACTGCATGGGAGGGATGAGAATTTATTAAGATGTTCTTAAAGGGAACAAGTCTAGTAGAATTGGCAAAAACTTCACCTTGTATACAGATATGTGAGTGCATTTAGGGTTTTGTGAGTGGTTATCCTCAGAAAGGGATGGTCCTGTAGAGTAACCAAGAGAATGCTAATTATGGGTGAATTCAAGCCCCTCTGTATAAACTGCCAAATGTTTTTAAATTTGTGGTTCTGCTAATGCAATAAGGTTGACTACCAATGACAAGCTTAATTGTTAGCTTGTCCTGATATGCATGAGCTCAGTTTAGAGTCAGATTTTAAGTCCAAGCTATTAATGAGTATTCTAATTTCTCAATTTATTCAGTCTGCAAGTTTCTATTGTGCACCTACTAGATAACAGACACTGTAAATAGGTGCTGGGAAAATAGCACATGGAAGACATAATCTCTACCAATCTCATTGGAGCTTACAATCTGCATTGCCAAAGTACATAATTCACAAAAATACAGTGTGAGCTGTAAAGTACAGCACGCTGATGTCTTTTAGATTGAGGTTCAGGGACAGTTATTAGAGAAAGGACATTTAAGCTGAGATCTAAGAGATGGCTAAGAATGGGCCAGGCAGAGGAACAACATGAAAAAGCTACTGAGACAATATGAGAACTTGGTGGATTCCAGCAGCCTAAGAGACCAGTGCGTGTGGAATCTAGAAGCAAGGATGTGAGTGTAAGAACAGGAGTCCAAGAGGTAAAGGCTGGGATCAGGCAGGGCCTTTTAAGCCCTGCAAGAAGATTTTTTTTTCCAGTAACAATGGGAAACTACTGCAATAATTTTTTATCAGGGAATTGTCAAGATCTAATTTATAATTCAGTCACTGATGCCATACCAAGAAGATTCTTCATCCCCAGTAACAGTGCATCTTCTTCTCAAAGTTCAAGTAACTGTATAAAGAACTATGAGCATCTAAATTCTATGGTATTTGCTTTTGGGTTTAGCATTTTTAAATTCTAAAGCTAGGTCGAATTCAAACAAAACCCCTGGTCAGTCAGATCTGTGTCTTAAACTTTTCTTCCTAGAGTTCCTGTGAATGAATTTTATTCTTGCTGTCCACAACAATGCCAGCCATAGGAAACTAAAAAATAAACTGGATGTTCAAGCAGAAAAGCTTTCATAATGAATCCCCAAAGAAAATAGTTACATTATTGGGAAAGAGTGCTCCCTCCCAACCCTACCCCAGACTGATGTTTATATCCCAGCAACTGGGCTATTACAGAAACATCTGTTCCTGACATTGTTCAACTATTTAACCAAAGAGAAGAACAGACCTCAAGAGAATGCTCAATAATGGGGGGGGGGGGGGGG